TGTTAACAATCAATCAAATGACTATAGCTTTAGTCCTATCTTAGTTCAGGCTCCTTCCAGTCAGCCCGGCTTGGTCCACCTCTGCAAAAGTTCTGATTCTGTCTGATGCATTGCTCCAGAGACAAAGGCTTGATCTCCTTGTGTTCTCAGTTTTCTTTCTCACCTTCAAGTTCCCCCAAATGCTAGTGGCCAGCACCAACCTGTGCTCTTCTTTACTTAAAAACTCCATGGAGGGGATGGGGAGATGGTTCAGTGGTTAAGAGCACTGTCTGCTCCTTTAGAGGACCTGGGTTTGACTCTCAGCACTCATATGATGGTTCATAACAATCTATAACTCCAATTCCAGGGTATCTGGTGTCCTCTTTTGGCTTCTGTGGGTGCTAGGCACATGCATGTTGTAAATATACACATGTAGCTAAAATACCCATACACATAAAATAGTAATAAAATATTTGAAATAAAGCTCCATGGAGAATCCATTTTCTATCCACACTGGTCATCCAACCATTCAAACTTTCTGTTGCCGCCCATCATTTGGGATCTGGTCATTTGGAGTACAGGTGGTCTTTCCCCTCTAACTGTATAGTGACCCTTTCCCACAGAAGTGGCTGTTATCTCAGGAAACTCACATTCAAGGATATAACATGAAAGGCATTCCCTGACATGAATGGCTTCCTGTCCTCAAGAGTGGGCCCATGCCTGGGTTGGGTGGGGATGGGAAAGAGAGTATAGTGGTAGATGTCAGGCAGAAAGAAGCCAACCCAAAGCCATTACTGATTTGCAAAGTGGACTTTGGATGTCAGTGGAAGGGCAGTGCTGATGCAGGGCTCCTGGGTGAACGTGATGCTGCTGAGTGGAACATGAACTTTGCTCACCTCCACACTTTGGTGGCTGGAACAACTGGACGAGATGCACATCAGGAGGTTGTTGGACTTCTGCTGTGTGGACATTTCTGTTCTATTCATACTTCAGCCACCATACAGCCCTTGCTCCTTCTCTCCATCCAGTAGTTCAGAACACCAATTCAGAGCCATGGGACTCT